GAAGGGCTATGGAGAAAATCATCTACCATACTACTCGGATCTCTTCGCTAGCCATGTCCTTTTACAGTCATATAAATTGAAAGAGGATGAACAAGTCGTTCCAATATCCGACATGCCACATCATCGATGAAGAACAGAACAACACCCGGTCCAAACAGGATTAGACCAGAAACACCTGAGGAACCTGCCGCCAGTTCTCATCAACAACCTGGCTCGGCTCCTCACTCGCTACCTGTCAGAATGCAAGGTCTCTATTTAAAGGAAAAACCAGCAAGACCGTATTGTTGTTCAAAAAGGGAGATCTTCATGACATAGGCATTATCGCCCAATCTGCTTGCTATCCGTTATCTATAGACTCTTTACTCGAGTCATCATAAACAGGATTAACGGAACACTGGACGAAGGACAGCCATGCGAACAAGCAGGGTTCCGTAAAGGATTCAGTACCATAGACCACATCTACACGACTACAGGACTCATTGAAGTTTCACGAGAGTACAAACAACCACTCTGTCTCACTTTCATCGATCTGAAGAAAGCCTTTGATTCCGTGGAAACAGAAGCGGTTATGAAGGCTCTAGATAACCTATCACCACTGACGTAAGAAGAAAGGTTTGATAAGGCGATATAATTTCGCTAAAACTATTCACTGCCACCCTACAAAACGTCATGCGAGCATTAGAATGGGACGATATGGGAGTGAAAATTGACGGTCGACAATTAAACCATCTTTGCTTAGCTGACGATATCGTTCTCATAACACTGAACATCAGGGAAATGCAACGAATGTTGAATGATTTCGACAACGCCTGTGGAAAGATTAGTCTTCAACTAAATCCAACGAAAACGATGTTTATGAGGAACGGATGGATTTTGAATGCTCCATTCATTCTCAGCAGAACGACGAGCTCCGAATGCTCCAGTTACGCCTGTCGAGGTCGTGAATTCAACATGATGAACGACGCTAGCTCCAGAGTTGAGCAGGAGGAAACGAGCGGCTTGGGGAAACGTTCAAGAGCATCGAAGATGTAGTGAAGCAGGACAAAAAACATTCAACTCCGTGCCCACCTTTTGGACTCGACAGATATCCCTTCTCTAACGTATGCAGCAGCAACCTGGTCGCTACGTAAGCAGGATGAGAAATCACTTGGCATTATCGAACGCGCAGTTAAAAGGTTGATGCGAGGAGTATTTCGTATCTTGCAAATGAGAGAAAGGATCCGAAGCTCCCACCTACGTTAACGATGAAAATCAGAGACGCTGTTCTACACTTCAGAATATCGAAAATAAGGTGGGCCGGACACGCGATGCGCTCCAACGACAACCGATGGAAGAAAACCGTTACCGATTGGATTTCTCGGGAGCGTCAGGCGCCCTACAACAAATACCACCGACCCGTTGGTCCGATTTTTTCACGAAAGCGATAGAAGAAAAATATGATGCTCAGCGAATCCTCAGAGCGAGGAGGACCCACTGAGCTACTCTTGCACGCGATAGGGAAAAATGGTAAGAGTTGCCTGTACCCGCTCGAGTCACTCGACGATCAACAGGGCGACAGGTGATACAGGTGATACGCTCCATGCGCTTATGTCATAATCGCACCTATATTTCGCTGAACAAAGCCTTTTCGCTATCCTATTGTCAATTACTGAATGGCGTAAATTTAGATGGGCTGAATAATACGCCTGGTTTTTAAGACTTTCATACAGCGCTGTAGCGATAAATTAAATTTATGTTTCATGCACTTCGCGCGACACTGTGCAGAATTTCGTTATTTATTCGAGAGTATTTTCTCCGCTCCACAAAACACTTTAGTTTTTTTGGTAAGGTGGAAAAAAAATTACATTCTATCGTTTTGCGCTTAAGATGCCAATTTTCATTTGATTTCGCCAAATAAAGTTCGCTAATAAGCCTAAAACCAAGCATCTCACGGCTATGGACGAAAATTCTACAAGTGTGTGTAAGAAATCTTGTGGTATTGGAACTATATGTTTCATTTGGACTTTTCTCAGAGCGGAGAATAATCCTGTAATCAATGACAAAACCGCTTCCCACATGTGCATGACGTCTCCGCGGTCTATCGATCACGTTACCAATGCACATCTGCTCACACACCCAGCCCACAAACAATGCGCAGCGTGTATAGGGCTTAGAATTTTTTTGTGCTAAAGTACAGCAGAGCGATTTTTCCAGAAGCCAAGCGCAGTATTAAATTCGTCAAAATATATCCCATCGTATGGCTACTTATAACTTCAGGGAAAGCTCTGTCTTGCGAGACATAGCCGTGTGCGGAACACAAATTTTTCCTCTCTGCAACAGCGTTGTGAGAAAGCCTTTTTGGAGAAAAAACTATGGAAATTGTGTATAAAATTCAGGCTATCGAATGAATACTAGCAGTTTGAGGGAAGAGCCTTTGTTGCGAAAAATGCGAGCGACAACGCGCAAAGCAAGGGAAAACGTGTAACGCGTGTGAAAACAATATCGTTTTCGGTTGTGTAGTAATTTACAACGCTGTAGTATTCTTTTGTTGAAAAAAACAAGCCTTTCCCAACTCTTCGATATGTCTTTTGAAAGATAATTGAAAATTCAATGGAAAGTTTTGTCCACAAAAAAATCCTGCAAAAATCGCCACCGGATCATAGGAAAGACCACTTTCTTTTCGTTCATACCTTATTCGTGAGGGAATTTTTTTGTCGTGCATTGTGCAATAACCACATTGCGCATGTTCTGAGATCTGCTCAAAGCAAGAGACATTTTCGAACTCTGTTTATCAGCATTTCTCTACTGTTTTACGACCGTTGTTTGAATAGTTGAATAGCAATAATGTGTGAGATCTTTATACACTTAGTAGTAAAATCACATGCATTTCGTGAACCTAAGCAATCTTCCCTAGTATTTGATTCTGTTCCAAACTGTAATGTAAGAGCGATTTCTCCAAACAAGATTATGCGATCATTTTCAAATTTGTGACATATTTAGTTTTGGCAAGGAAAACGATCATGGCAAAATGACTTTTGTTGGTACTCAGACATCGGCGTGGTAAGAACAAGTCTGAACTAATGTGTTTTTTATTGGTGTATCTCATTTTATTGACTATTGATCAAAATGGTTCTTTTCTGTTATCGAAAAACAAATGAAGAATCGACTGCTTTCACTCGTGAAAATTTGTCATAAGAGTGTTAGTAATCATTCGAAGGTTAAAGCCTCTGGCTACTAAACTACGGGCTTCTTTTTTGAATAGACCGTTTAGTGATGCTGTAAGATTCAAAATCAAAATTGTTTACACCCTCCATTCGCTCCTACCATTACTTTGATGGAAGCACAAAAGCATATGAACATGTAGAGGAAACTGTGTAGTATCAAAAATGTGTGCGTTCTTTATGGAGCTTCTGTCGGAGTATAAAAATTTCTTAACACGTAATAAAATTTGCACGCCACATGTGTCACTCATCAGCGCACTCGATCGACCGCCGTATCAAAATCACGGGCCGTCCTGCCCCCTTCCTTCAGACCATATGGAAGCCGAAAAAACAGATTCCTATCTATGTGAATTCAATGTTATTTTCCCTACAACACTGCAGTGAAACCGTCTTCTCAGAAAATTACCACAGGCTTGATATCATAGGAGGTTACGCTATCGAATGGTTGCTCACAAATCCAGGGAACAGTTCAGTCCTGTGAAAATACGCTTGTGCGGAACACAAATGTTTGCCTTCTGTTGGAGCGTAAAAAAGCTTCATCAAAAAATGGATGCGTAGCGCAGTGGCCGGAGATACAAGCTTTCGAATGATTGCTAAGAGTGCAATGGAAAGTATCAATCCACCGAGGTCATTTTTCTTTTGTTCTCGATAACAGAAAAGAGCCATCAAGATATATCATTTAATTAATCCAATTGGTACAATTTCTAATTAGGGTAGTATTACAGGTTCACCTAGTTTGTCAAGTGTAGTTGCCAGGAAATTCAGCAACGTCCTTGGGATACCGTAATCAATAATTTTACAGTTGTTCAATAGCTTGTTAATAACTAATCGTGATTCATTAAGTCCCGCATCTCATTCTGTCAAACCCGTTCATATGGGCAGTGTTCATCGGCTACCCTTTGATCACTCTCCACCTCTTGCCACTATAGAACACCGAAACGGTAGGTACAAGACACGTTACTGATTGTGGGCACATTTTTGCCACTGAAGTTAATTAGAAGCCAGAATGTTATCTACTAAGCAAAAGGTGCTCTTTTTGTCATCACGACATTTATCCCACATAGCATATTCTTTAACGGATCTTCCCCGTGTGAATCATCAAAAGGCTGCTACGTGTTGCATTTTTAACTGACGACTATGTGTGTTAAGATTGACTATCAAGACTTTTGCTCCAGCACGATTGAGTATGTCAGTACCTTTACTATGTTATGTCTCACTTGAATAAACAGCAAGAATGGTGCGCTGATATACAATTATCAGGACATTATCGTAAACACCAGGAGGTTCAAGAAGCCGATTATGTTATGCGTATTGGTAACAGACACTAAACATGGAGCGCTAACCAATAGCTTTCGCGCTTGCAAACCGCGCAGTAAACAAGCCAGTACAAGTTCTAATCGAATTTTGAAGTGCTTTTGATCGGAAACCTTAACAATTCCTCAGTGTCTCTAGTTTTTGACGTCGGCGTTGATAGTAATTTCGTATTTTCTTGACGATCAAACGCGAGGTTGTTAACACTACAACTGATTGAAAACAAACAAAATTTTTTTCAACCGCTTATAGCTGGGGTAAGGTCTCATGAATATACCTAATGATGTTGGGTGATGTGCGAAACTTTTGCTTGAATACAGTTTAGTACGACTAAGATGGCTGATATTTCTTGCAGTTTTGTCTTCTTCACATAAAAAGGTTACCTATCTATCAAATCAAGAAAGCACAGCTTCTTTAGAAAAAAATCACCAGCTCTGATTTTAAGCCTTCCAATTATGCCTGAGAGAATTGAGTGGTGAGCAAAAATACTAACTCAGACGGAAATCGAACCCGCGTTCCATTCATATCGAGGACGTGTGCTACCACTACATCACCAAGTTAAATTACTAACCTTCAACAGATTTTGTTGGGTATGCGATTTCGCTTTATAAACCCTGGTTGAGCTGACAGCCATTGTTAGATTTAATACTCCGAAATTCTAATATTTTTACTGCTTTTTTTCGCAGTGTTATGATGTTAATATATATATATATATATACTGCAAAAAAAAGCAGTAAAACACTAAAAACCTCTCAATTATGTTCTTCGTATCTGAACTCACTAATCAACTCATTCAACCGGAAAGACGAATGCAAGCTTTATAAACGCCCGTTGTTATCATTCGACAGTCATGTCGACAGTAAACACTTGCAACCGTATTAGATTAAATACGTCCAGTGACCGCCTGATTATTTTTTCAACAACAAAAGAAAAACTGTAAAGTGGATGCCCTCCTTCTTATTGAATTGTTTAAACCACCCTTGCATAATGATGGGTCCTACTATATCATCGTTCGTCTTTTATTCTTTAGCATTCTGAGATGGTTGCTATAAATTTCGAAGGCCACTCGTAAACTTTAGAACGCGGCCCCTTTTTGTAACTCTGCAGCTAGATGTAAGTGAGAACCGAATGAAAAAGTTGTGTTGGTGGAAGATTAGCTTTACATGAACCTTAACTTTTTGAATTAACTTCATTAGTAGAATAGGTAACATTGCTGGATGGTAATGTTTCATGTTGTGCACAATTCAAGATCCATCTGCACTTCTTTAGCTATCCAATCCTGAATTGAAGAATAGAGCGCACAAAGAGATATCAGAGAGGAATTCAAAGTAGCTGTCATTTATCTTCGCACAAGATTATGAAACTTGAACGCGCAAGATTATTGAGGCATTCTGGATTCGATCAAGATCGTCTCGCTATTACGCTGATCTTACACGATTGATCTTGACGTGTAGTACTCAGACTAAATCAAGCGAAGAGTGTATGAAAGCATTGTTTTTAAAGCAGTTGAAATCTAAATTTAGTTGCTTTCTCTCTTATCGTTATTTGGCTGACTGGGCTGGCGACAATTTCGTGTCTGCAGATTCCGAAAAAAGCGAAGTTGTCAGAAAAAAACATTAATTGTCCAAACAAATACTGTCATAGCAACCTCGTGTTTGATTTATCTGGGAAAACTGTAAACTCCTTCAACTTCTCTAGATCATCCATTTGTAAAAGATTGTTGGATGAAGACTGATCAAACATGGAGATCTGGCAAAATAGTTCTGCATAAATCCCACGAAGAGGAAGTAGTTGCTGTTAAACTTTGGGTGACGAGAAAGTTAAGCACATTGCAGGAATTAGTAAAGTTCGAGGACAGAACGACTCGGCATCAAGCAGGAGGAGCTCCACAGATTCTTTGGTTTGAATTCTTTTGTCTTAACTTGAGTGAATGAAAAATTTTTCACTACTTGTTGAGTCGAGTTTACCTCATCATCGTTTCAGCGCGAAAGTTCTAAAACTCCACCAGGATCCCATTCGACTGCACTAAAATGAAGCGGCAGCACTTCGTTTTTTGGACAGCTAAATCACCTTTGTACGACATGACCCATGTACTACGACACCAGATATCTAACATTCTCATTCATTCTCTTCTCATAGAGAAAATTATGCTTTATTGCTCATCTGCCCAAATAGAAAATGAAAAGGGGAAATAAATTTGATATATATCTCATTGTGTTCATTCAAATTGTTCTGTTCTTCTTCGGTTGCTCCTTCCTCTAGACTTTTCGCTTTGATTGATTCCATAGAGCAAACCAGTCATTTTTATTGTTATAGCTGCTGATCTGTTTTGCATGTGTACAGATATCTAAATTTATCTACCTCCTTGTATTTACTAACTGTGATTTCATTGTTATGCGACATTATGACGATATAAACAGACTTTGGTTGATCAGGACTCAGTATCAGACCCAGAGGAGGATTAAATGGATAAATGTCCATGGTGAGAATCTAAGAAAGCTTGTTGGTAGAGCGATCTTCGGGTTCATGAATGACAATGAAAAGAATCGGGATTAATGACACAAAGCGATATGTGCGAGTAAGTCATGCAAATAAAAACAAAGTGAATTTGTTTGATTAATCAGTAATTCATAACTTCACCGGTAATCATAAGCGAAAATAGTGTATCCGAATCGAAGCAGAGAATGATCAGAGTGCAACAAGCAATCGGTTCCCCAAATCATTGACGATATAGTAATGCAGAAATGGATAACGAAGAAATATTAATATTTATGATAGTGCCTGAGGATGAATTAATCCCAGTATAGTTTTCTATTCTTGTCATAGGAGTGTTCATGAGCGTCCAACAACAATGTACATAAAGAGCTCACAGCGATGCCGGAGTCATCCAAGTTTTGAAAATTCGATATTCTGTAAGTGCAGTAGGAAGTAAAGGTTAGCCAGCACAGTTACTGGCGTTGACGGCCTTTCGTTGACCTTCTCATTCAAAATATATATAAGTTCCATGACCTTCATATTGGAACTATATGAAAATGAGTGGGATAATTGAGAAATAACACATGCTTTTGAATGTTAGATGAACAGTCAGATTATACAGAATTCACCCGGAAGATATCGAAAGACAGTTGGCTACCTTCGTGGAAGGTACAAATAGACTTATCTGATAACAGCGACATCACGAAATGCTACCGAAAGCCAAGTAGTAGAACTGTCCATGCTCACAACCTCTCCTCTCGTCCCTAACGTACAAAAAAGTCGTTATTAGAAAACATGCTTCGACCAAACACCGGTGTATGTACTGAAAGAGAGTAAAGAGTAGAATCCGTGGGCACAGGAAATAGCCATTTCTCATGGCTATGAATTTGTAGCTCCTTGGCTGAGGCTTAGATGAAATAGTACGCCTCCGAACAAAAATTTGAACAACAGCAAAATCAGTTTCATCTCCCTTTCTTTTCAAATGAGAAGGACAGCGATAAAACGGTGTTTGAAAAGAACAAGTTTAGTGGAATTGATAACGATTATTGTAATACCACCGAATACTCTGGGGCGCCAACTAGCTCGCAACCAATTATGTGCACCGAATGAATGCCAAAAAATTCCCTAAGGACAAAGACGGTGATTGCATGAGCGTGGGTATAGTCTACCTAATCTCTTGAAAAGCGTGCGACGAAGAATATATTGGTGAGACGGGGAGGTCACTCTAAGTCCACATAGAGGAACAGCTAGCTGATAAATGAATTCTAAACCAAACAGCTCGCTAGACACACATAGGACGTATGACGGAGTGCATTTCGACATAGAAGTCACCACCCTTGTGTAAGATAATAAAACATCATTGCGAAAGATTCTATAGGCATTTTGATTAATATCACCAATCCAAGGAAGAAATTTCCTAAACCTCGTGATATGATTCGGTATATAAAACTTCTGTTTTCATGGGTGAAGTACATTACGAGTCCATGTGATCTCTGCCAGTGTTCTCCACTTAGATAACTCAGTGGGGACTTACAAAAAAGCGGCGAATATGCTGAAATTTGATGTTGTGCTTGATACGATTGGAATCCGGGTCTGATAATTTTTTTCTACAAGAGTATTGAGGTGTTTAACTGATTGAATTGTGACAACTTGATCTTTCCAGGATCTGAAGAAAGCGAGACTTTCGAAACGTCAGTTGTTTCAATGAATATTGTTATAACAACTCGTGTCTGGCTTGAGAGGAAAATAAGAGAAATGAATGGATTCATAAGCAGAGGTGTGGTGGATCTCCGTTGTTCTATTTTCGTTGAGCCAGCAACTAGCTTTGATTAGCGAGTGAGTTAGTCGAAGAGTGATCGAACTACCAGTTATATAAATGGCCGCATTATTATTACTAGTGTCACTGATAATCGCTGAAATAATGAATGATAATCTCAAATGACAAGTAAGTGTTAAGGCAACCGTATGATCTTCTCGTCACTGTTTCGCAGAGGTGATACAACGTGCAGAGGCTTCAGCATTCATCAGTGTCACATTTCTTTTAGATTTCCTTTCTGAATTATTCCTTCCAATAAAGCATCAGTCGTATATTAGTAACAAATAAATCTTATTGGACGATATTAGTCATGAGAAATGAGTAGCCTTGCTTGCATTTCGTTACTCCAAAGTATTAGGTTGGTATAGAATTAATCGCAGTTTATGACAGTTTATGCATTATTGAAATTCACTGCACGATATCGGAATAAAATTTAGATCAATGTGGTTATTATATCATTTTGAGGCAGTGTATTCGCCCTACCTCTATTTCGAGTGTTTTCTTAGGATCACGCTCAAATTTCAGTGAATCTTCTCATTATTATTTGAGCCAAAATATCATTTGGTCTGGTAAATGGGCTCTTGTACAGCCCAATACACGTGTTGCGAACTTACAACTTCGTCAGTAGGGCAAAACCCTTCGCCTTTCAATCTTTTTATGAGCTAATCCTCTCTGAGCCTGCTCTAGCTAAAGAGAGTTATCAAAGACGAACTATTTACACTGTAAGTCAAGAGAAAATATCACTTAACTTACAGGATTTGAGAGTGGTCTTAAACAAGCACTCGAAATAAAGGTATAATATTAAGGAAATACCCGCCAAAGAGCAATCGAGTGTGCAACACTGTAAGCTCGGTGAAATTTCACTTGACCTACACTGTAAATCGTTCGTCTTCGATACCTCTCTGTAGGGAGAGCTGGCTCCCGAGAGAATTAGCTCATGAAAAGATTGAAAGATGACGGGTTCTGCCCGACTGGCGAGACTATGTGGTCGAAACACGTGTATCGGGTTGTACAAGGCCCATTACCAGACCACATGACCACATGACATGTTGGCTCAAATAATACTGAACAGGTTTATTCGCTCTACGTTTCATTCTAACGACGTTTCAATTGCTATTCATTTTATATTTATTTCAGAGTACGGAAGAAAAGCTGGTTGGTGCAGAAGTTATGGCGATTTCAAACCTTGAATTCAGTTTGAGTTCAATATAAAGCATCAGAGACAACTTGCAACATCAACAACACATTCAGCCCAGGAACTGCTAACAA